TTGATTAATAATATGTACTTCCCCTTAGTCTATACCCCATTTACTATTTAACCAGCTCGTCAGTCGAACCACTTTGGTTCCTTTACTTTGCTTACTTTTTATTTGTTCCCTTGCTTTTAATTATGCTCAGCTCTGACAGCTCAGCCCGGCACAATGGATGCCAATGGAGCAGCTGGCGGAACTGGCGCCCGGCGATATGTGACAGCCATTTAATTTGATTTATGGCCAGTGAATAGTCTTGATTAGAACGCGACCGCCCAAGCATGGGATTACAGTGTGTGTGTGTGTGTGTGAGCGAGATATGTGTGTAGCGAATTTAACTCAATTTCACATAAATCAAAAATGTAGCTAAACCCAGCCGGGAGCTATACATGTGTGTGTGTGTGAGTGTGACTGTGAGTGTGTGGATGTGGGGTTTCCTCTTTGCTCAGAGCGCACCTTGGCGCTAATCGTATTTCAATTGTTGAAATGAATTGCGAATTGCGAATTGAATGAAGTGCTGAAATTTGAGTGCGAGCTGCACACACACACACACACACACACACTCCTGTCGATATATGTGTGTGTGTGCGTGAGTGTATTTCAATTCCCTTGCGCAGCATCTAGAGGAGTTTCCTTGTCTGCTGGCGTTGTCAATGCGATTACCGTTGGAGTCGGCTACAAGTTCATAAAAGTAACGCCAACAATGAGCGAATTTAGGTGTCAAACAGCAGGTGGCAATGGCAGCAGGCAACAGGAAATGCCCAAACCGTTGGGGCTCCAGTTTGACTGTAGACGGCGGACTGTGTTGGTCGATGCATGGAGCTGGAGCGATTGGGGGGGACTTTTGGGGGGCGTTTTGGGACTGGGACGCGTCAGAGACAGATGATATCTTAAACACCACACACACGCACACAGAGACAGATACACAATCACACATGACTACACACGCACACACACGCACACACATAGTGCAAAATGTTATCAGTGAAGCAAGCGCCTGGGCTGTTGTACAATTTTTGACATGGGTTTTCCAACAGGCAACAACAACGACAAAAAAAAGAACAAATGCCAAACAAAGGGCCAACAAACGTTGGGTTTGGGTTCTCTCTCTCTGTGTGTGTGTGTGTGTGTGTGTGTGTGTGTGTGTGTGTGTATTGGCAAACCGCAAGAACATCAACTGATGGCAGATAAATTAAATTTTGCGGTTCTAAATGGGCAATCAATGAGGCGTACTAGCCCTGCCACTCAGGTGTGGGCTCATCCTCGCCCATTTTAGCACTATCGAAAATAGTTGAATTTAAAAATTTAACCAACGAGCAAAGAGTACGGCCAATATAGAACTTCGTGACCCCCAGACTGTGGGCAAAGTCTCGTGACATTTTTTGGCTGTGTCAACTCTGGCAACTTCAAAGAAACTCCCAAGAAATGCTCACCACTTGCTGCCCTCCCCTTGGTCTAGAAACTCCCTCCAACTGTTGCAGCAGCAGCAGCAGCAAAAAGAGAAAAAGATGGAAAAGTTGTTAGCGAAACTTTTGCTCGCCCTCAAATATTGACTTAAGCGCGCTCCACTCGATGGCTGAAGCACCTCAATTGCAAGGGGTCCACCTTTCGCCCTCTCTCACCCGCTCTCTCTCACTCTGAGTGTCTCACCCATGCACATCGTCTGCCTAGGTGTGAGTGTGTTGTACAGTTGACACCTTTGCGCTCTGAAGAGTCTGCTGCTGTGTGAGGGAGTCTGTGTGTGCGTGTGAGGGTGTGCGCGTGTGTGTGTGTGTTTGTCTGTTTATTGGTATTTATTTGGCTGCCGGCACGCCCAATCAAACAGACATCGCAGCTGCTTGACAATGGGAAATGAGCTGCACTTGCTCTATGCACAGATATACATGCATACATACATATATATATATATATATATATATATATATATATATATA